TGTAAATGAAAACAAGGTGTTTCTCACTGCGAAGCCCCCACCGTGCAGCCTTCGCTCCTCTAGCTCCAGCCCTTGCCAGAAGAATGAGTAGCCCTGCTCATGGAGGCCGCCACTTGACGGGAGTCTGGTCTCCTGACTCGCGGCGATATCGATGTTGATTTTCTTTACTTCTTGGTTTATGTTGGCTGTCTTCCCGGAGTCGTCTACCTGTTGAGGATTGTCGGAGAGGCTAGGGCACATTGTCTTAGCGTTCCAGCTTGCCAGTCGCAAGATTGGCCATTTCCTTTCCTTTGTTTGTTTGCGGGGTGATTGCAGTCTGCTCCTCGATCTTAGCCTGAGCCAGCTCTAAGCACCCATTAGAGCAGACAGGCTGGGGTGGGTCAGCACCTCACTGGCCAGGGCTTCCCAGCTTGAGGTGGGCAGTAGCCGACCAGTGGAACTACGACGGTTCCTGCAACCGTCGGAGACAACCCGTAGCGTCAGGGCTTACGCCAATCTGCTCTCGACTCATCACTCGTAACTCCTGCTTCACGTGTTGTGTTGTTGCTGGAACAGTGGCACTAGACTGCAGACCTCTCCAGGGGGCAAGCCTGGGCAGGGCTTGAGATCCTAAGTTGCCAAAGCCTCAAAATACCCCTTTTGGCCTTGCCAGTGGGATCCAAGGGGATTTGAGCTCCACACTAAATTTTGACACTAGGTTGGCTGCAGGAGTTGCCGGGTAGAGATGAGTTACCCAGCTATCTGCATTGAAGGGGCTCTACTCCTTGGTTTTGTGTCAGGGTTTACTCCCTTAGAGATACTACTGACCAAGGCTAAAGGGCTCACTCTGCCCTGCTATTTACCAATAGCTGTCTTTTTAAATCTCGGTTTCGTGACCGTGATCCACAGTGGCTGACATGGCACCAGGGCGTGTCCACGCACCGATTGCCCTACGCACCAATGCCTCTGGGGCCCACTGATCTTTGAGACAGAGATATAACAAAACAATCATTGACCGCAAGGCAAATTACTAATGACTTTTGAGATTTATACCTTTGAATCGCAGCCTTTGTACTTGGATGGGTTGATCGGATTTAAAATATAAGTTTCCTGGTTAATTTCACACTTCTTTCATTTAAAATGACTTGAAAGAAAGTTTAAATTTGTCGAGGAGTGGTAACTGTTTCTGTACACATATTCCAATACTTATAAAAAAATCTATCAATAATGGCTTAACTATAGCGTTTGGGGTCACGTCCTCTCCAGTAGATACCCGTGCCCCTGATGAAAATCTTGAGATGAACGGTGGTATTGTTTTGGTTTGCTTTGCTAAGACCTTTTGCAAACGTAATCTTAATCTTTGTCATGGCCACCACAGTTATCAACAACACCGCACTGTAAAAACCTGTTTTTAACAAAATTGCATTAACATTGTGACGAAATGTCGAAAAGCTAAACTTCTGCATCCAATCCTTAAAAACGTCAAACTTTAATTGCTGAAAATCATCCATTAGTACTCTAAACCATGTTTATTTGTTGAATGTATTGACAAACTGAACAAGGAATTGCTTAGAAAGTGCTGAAGTGCCAAACAACTTTTGCGCTAAATCACGAATTAATTATTATAAAATATTATAAAATATCCAACAAAAGAACTTCAAAATTCGATAACGCCAGCATTACACTAGTTGATGAGAGATCGTCTGTGATATTTTGACTCTCTGTCAATTTCGTACATTCCTCATTCTTTCATTTCAGTACTTGATATCTATCATGGGCGTCATGAAGAGGCATCAACATACGTGAGACATCATTAAGTAAATGATTAATCTATCGATTATGCATTGTAAACCCCAGACCTTGGCAGATTACTCATGGATACTCCCTCCAGCAAGATTGTTACACTGAACAAAGGGGGATAAAAATGACACCCTCTCTGGGATTTGTTACAGCTTTTTAAAACGTCCAAATGCGGTCAAACTGGGAAAGCACGATAATGAGGTTACAAGAAAAGGAGGGATACTCATCTTAATTGTTTACAAAAAGTTACACTGCATTGCTTAGAGTCGATATGAAGGTAGCAATCTCGATTTTTTGTTATACCGGCGTGAGGTTAAAACAGTGCATGAAGTATTTGAGTGCCCTTGGCGAAGAGGATCTCCTTTTCTCATGTATCCCCCTATGTGCAGTTTTTTTCTGTCACGATGCACCTCACAAAGAGTTCCTCTCACGTCTTTAGTCCACTTCCAAAGTGATTTTTTGAACTCTGAACAGCATTTCACATTTAGCATCTTAATGCGGGGGATCCATGGACAGATTGGGGCGTTTCATTGGCAGATGTTTTTGGTTTTAATTTGACAAAGGTTTTAAATTCAATTCATAATTCACATTTCCCTTATACACCACAGTGTTATACGCAGGGCACTGGGATACGATTTCTTTGACCTACGTGAAGTACTCGTTTTGAATAACGTGGGACAACGTTTACCGTGACGTGAGCACACAGTGTATATCCATTGATAAAAGATAGTGACTTGCCCACAATGCTTTGCGACTTCTTATTTTATTTCAAAAAGTTCCCTGAACATAGGCATAATAGGTGCTCAAGATCTACTTTGTGACTGTTAACTACTTTTCCCAAAGTCTTCACCCAAGTTGACAAAAATCTTAACCCAGTTATCCGATTAGAATTTTTGATAGTTAATAGATCATTGAACGTTTGTGTTGGAAAACTAAAGAAAATGTTCCAGGTTCACATGGTCGTTGTTATACATGACTGTGAAGATTAGTATTTTCTTTTAATTAAGCTATCAGACAAATCCAAGTAAAAGACAACTGTCAACATTTCAGTTAATTCCCGTTCTTGAGAATAATGTTTGGGGAGTTTTGTTGGAAACCAGCAGGATATGAAGCTTCCTTTTGCCTCTCCCAAAAAAAATCACTTCTGGCAAACGCAGTAAATTTGTACCACGATCTCAGTGACGCGTCTTTGGCAAATCTCATCTTCTGTTGATGCAAAGTATATCAGAAATAAGCCTAGGCTCAGGTGGTAGAGGATCAACAATGTGTCGTCCTAACCGGGGTAATATACGTTTGATTTTTATTAGCAAAACACCCAGCATTCTCTTGGCGAAATCAGACGGAACCCGTTGATAAGATCTTAAACGATCAAGCAATCTACGTGGGCTTTGTTCTCCTCCCAACTAGGCATATTGGTGAAAGGTTGGTTCGTGATGAACATGCAAGTTCGAGGGTAAATTTGTTAATGTGAAATGCGACTGCCCCAATGACGCCACGACCGTCGACGGCACGCATTGCACGTTTCCATCGCTATGTCTGCAGTTTAAGCCAAACCTGACTCTGCCAATTTGGTTCCCTTGACAGTAATGGAAGAATAGGCTCCAGGCAGGAATGCATCTCCAAGTACATGAATGTTCGTATCGTCCGTGTAGTCCTTGCTACGTGGTTGTAATAAGCTTCGGCCAGCGCTCAGTATCATGTATAATTTGAGACACTTCCCAAATCCTGATAGACTGCTTCTTAGACGTCATTTGGCTACCAGTGCAATATAGCCAACTGGCAACTAAGGACCAGTCAGCAATCTTGTTGTGTTAGTAGGCCGTATCACAATTTCCAAGGCTGGCTCTAATTTACAAGGTCGTACTGATTTTGCGCACTCACTCGTACCAGACACTAGCGAATGGTAATTGAAGACGATGTAAAAATGCTCAATGTGCAATCTACTATACCCCTTGGGATGGCACTCACAGCAAATAGCATTGCGTGCACAGCGTATTCAACACTGACGATTTGCTGGAAGTGTTTTTCTGCAGCAGCCGTCACTTTTATCTTTGCGAAGTGTCGTCGTGTAGCCAATTTACAGTTTGTGGAAGGTGTATGCTTACAAGAGAGGTCTCTCCGAGTCTTCGTTCAAAGAGAAGGCTTTCGTAAAATGATAGGACAGAAAACACTTGTGTAAGGTTAAATCAGAGCTCATGTCCTATTAACGGAAAAATTGGCAAAGCTAATTGGACCCTTCTCTTTATTGGCTGCAACTCTACGTTAAATCCATATTGAAAAAGGTTGGTCTGCGCAAAATCCAATAGGCCTACTGTTCCATAACCGCGGAAGCAAGCATAGCTCCATCCATCACGATCCCTACTCGATTTCTCAAATTCTACTGAGATTAGAAGAAATAATAATAACCTGCAGGGACAATAAATTAGCCTCGGAATTGTCATCTGACCCAGATAAACTTCAGGCCTAATCAGCCATGTCAGATCCCTGGGTCATTGGTATTATGGCGCATATCAACTTCTCCCGAGAGAACCGTGATCGTCGTTGATAGAGGGGGTGAACAGCCCCGAAACGGACTTGCCGTCGGTAACATGATCAACATTTAAAGCCACCGGGGACCTGAGATCAGTTGGGCTTCACCTCTGACAGTTAGTTGGGTGTTGGGGCGTCCAACGAGCAGTGAAAATACGATCCGCAGACTGAGAAAGACTCGACACAAATACTGCACCTCCTGGGCCCTTAATGGCACGAGTGTTTTAATTGAACTCAATTAATCAGCCACAGCCGCCATGTGTTACTCGGGGGCCACCCGTAATTGGATGCCGAAAGAGAGCGTTGTAATATCACGAAAGACTCTTGTGGTTTAGGAGCTGTTTGTCAACGTCTAAGCTGAGACAAACCTAATATGGATGCTTGGAAATGACCCTCACTTTTCCAAAATTTTCGAACATTGGTGGAGAATACTCCTCAGAAAAAACTGAACCAAAACATTTTAAGCAAGATTTGAACACTGATTTCTGGGGGTTTTTTTGCCAGTGCAAGAAAGGGCTGATTTGGTCCTTCGCTTTCAGCATCAAAATACAGCTGATGTGCTTTTTCTTCTGCCTTCAATATGTCCATTTCAATCTTTGAAATTTATTTAGTGGAAACAGTTGAAAGGGTTCCAACAGTTCAGAAAAGGTAACTTGAACTTTGTTAATCTTCTTTTATCATTTGCGTTTCAGCCTTAACATGGATCAGTACGGATGCATGGACGGATATTGCGACCCGAGATTTCCGCATCATGAACAACGTGTTGATGGTAACCGTGGAAAGTATGGAGGTGCCTGGATTCAAGACCTATCTGAGAGGTCTTAACCCCTTCTTGCAGGAGTTTGAAGATGATCCCTGGCTACGAGAGATCTGGGAAGGGGAGTTCGGCTGCGATGTTGGTTCACCGGCAGACGGGGCATCCTCTCCTTGCGCCCACCATACGCTCCTGGAGAACGAAAAGATAGCCAACGCTGCCGCATCCCCCACAATTTACCGTGTCTACCTGGCCGTGTACGCCGTTGCCCAGGCATTAGCGGGTATCGAGCAGTGTGAGGAGCCTCTGGGCTTGCTAGCCAATGGGGGATGCCCGCCTGTGGGCCGTATCGAGCCGTGGCAGCTTATGAAATACCTAATGGCGGTGAACTTCACCATGGGCAGCAACGGCCGGCACGTGTCTTTCGGCAAGGACGGAGGGATCATGGATACATTCAAGGTCATTCAGTGGCAGAGGTGTGAGGAGGACATCGACCCTGACTGCCAGGTTGTCGACTTTGTCGAGATTGGAGTCCATAAGGACGGTGTACTGTACATCAATGAATCGCGGAGTCGTTGGTATGAAGACGATACTAACGTTGACTTGGTAAGTTACTCGCATAACCAAACTCTGTTGACCATTACTTTTTCGTAGGTCAAAAAATAGCCAGTATATCCCAGATTATGCTGTGATCAAGGCAGCTGTAACAAAACTCCCACAAATTAATAAACAGTGTGGGTGTGTGGAGAAGAATTTCGTTTGGAATGTTTAAAAGAGTAACCCATAAAAGAGCTATTGTGCAAATCGAAGAGCCTTACTTTTCAACCGGTTCAACCGCTTTAATAGTCTGTCCGCTTATTCGGAACGGATTCTCGATTTCCCCCGGGGATAGTCAGGCCCGTTGGATTATTTAAAGTCCGATTATTCTGGGCAGTCGGACACATAGATAATGCATTACTTACTGGCGCACTTACCTTTCTACTCGTAGTTGGATTTTTATCCTTTTGAAATTGTTACTATAAATGTTCCTTTATCTTTTCCTTTCTGAGCCGGGGCAACCCCCAAACCCCACGCCATGGATTGTACCTTGATTATGCCACGCACTGTGCAATTTTCCTGTCGCACTTGATCCGATATGTTGAATTTCATTGCTGCTCGTGGGCTCTATGCACTCTTGTGACTCTAGGGAATAATTCAATCTCTTCCTTCGTTAAATATTTCCGCAGGGAATCTCACTCCCTACAAACCAACAGCTTTTAAGGAATACTGATTTATTCATTTGTCCCCCTCCTTTGAAGCAGCAACCCCGTGGCTCAGGACACCGATCCCTTAGATGTCTTGTGGGACTTTTAATAGATAGAACGCGGAGAGCAGCACCAAAAAGGACGAGGATCGCTATACCGGAAGTTCAATCTGTGCAACGATCGCATGCATTAAAAAAAAACCGGCGTGCATGATCGTTCTCTACACTGCCCATTTCTGGGCCCATGGGTTTGCGGGGAATAATTAGGGAATAGCAACGGTAACAAGCTCAGAAAATCTGTTTCAAAATTATTGTAATGACTCAACCTGTTCGCATGGGAAAAATGCATTTGGCGTAGGACTAGAAGCTGACTCATGTCACAGTTTAAAAAAAACCAAATCCTACCACTGAGTCTATTTTAAGGAGTAGATAAAAGGTATTCGACACGACATGAAGTTTAAAAACATTCACAATTACAATTTGGTTGTAACTAAAGTTCTTTTGCTATCAAAGCAAGCACACTTTAACAGTGAAAGGTGACCTTTATCATACTAGTCAACGTAGACAATTCATGCAAAACCAGTCGACAGGCCTTTACAGTAAGCCTATTCCTCAATCAATCAATGCTCTTGATCTCAATTTGACCAAAGGTTTTTACTGGCCGTGGGTCGCGCGTAATTTGCATAAACACCGTGTGGGACTTTTCTTGACGTTCACACTACTCATTCCTAATATGAGACGACTCACACGCTGTTCGGATTAAAACAAACGAGAACAGCAAAATCAACACCAGCCGTTCCAGTTAAACGCTCATTACATTGATCTGTAATGTAACCTTAACAATAAACCAGCACCTTTAGCAATGAATGCTCCAAATGCTCTGTATATTCAACATAAATTCAACGAATTCAGTGGGCAATAATGGAGTTCTCTGCAATATCCTTGGCTAGTTGAATACCATATTCCACAGACTGTTTTAAAGTCCAGTCCTCGTTATTTTTGATGAATTTAGTGATACTGCCATGAAAATAGGTAACGGGGTGTTCGGTGTCAGAAAATAATGAGAAGAAGTCGATTTTTTGGATTAACATGCTTGGAAAATATCCCCAAATTAAGCCTCACCCCTCAGATAGGCCAGAAAAGCTTAGTTTCAGACATTTTAACAACTCTGGCCTAAAGACTTTTCTCTTACAAGTATTTACTCTGAATCTACCCTTGACAGGAACAAAGTCAAGCTTCCTATTGAATTGTTGTTTTTCATCCAGAATATATAAATAGACCATTTGGACTGGTCAATTCAACCTTCAATCCGATTCACATGGGCTGTTAAGGGCAACAAACTTTAACAGCCGGAAGAAAAAGAGTCTTATACCACGTACCGTATCTAATACATCGATTGTGATAATGTGTCAAATGTAGTGACTTATATCAAATCATTATATGGGCCTACTTTGGGGAAAAAGATTCATGTGCCAGGGCGGTGAACTCTTGATAAGTATGAAAAATAAAATATCCCCTAGGTTTGTGCGTTTCCTTTTCTTTTCACGTACATGGGGTTCAAAAGCACTTATTTAAAACAAAGCCAGTATGGACATCACTGAGTCAGACTGACCCTGATCAGTCACATTTAATCCTAGAATCATCTCACTGGTGTCAAATACATTATACACGTGTTAAAATATTCATCACTCCTCCAAAACCCCCCCAATTAAGCATAGTTTAATTCATGCAGCCTCCTCTACAGGTATAGCCTGTGAACAAAGCGTAAAAACCATTGTGTGTCATGCATGATCACAGCCACTCTAGTCCAAACTGCTTCAAAATCATTCTCAGGTCTCTATGATAACGAACTGTATTCTTTTTACCTTTCGATCTGTCGGAGGGAGCGGGGTCGAATTTTTTTCTTTTTCTTCAGTGGTGAGATGTTCTTGGTCCTCACTGGCATGGGGAGGCTTTTAAAAGTCAGATAGATTCTGTAAGGCATGGGCGCCTTCCTGTCAGTTTGTCAATTTTGATAACAGATTTAAAAAGACACAAAACACTATAGCCTTCTGTTTGTATAGTTTACGTGATACATCCACAGAAATTTGTCTGTGGCATTTCAGTCAGTGAATTTCACAAACCTCTCCTAACGCTTGAGCGTTTTCTTGTAAAACTCAGTCAAACCAGAAGATCGGCCAAAGTTAAATACGAGAGAGGAACGTCGGGCAACAAACATTGTCGGGATGGCATGGGCACATAAGGATAACTTCACCTGCCACTGTTAATTTCTGCGAGGGAGCTCTGGCTGAGCGCTTTCCAGTCCTGTTAGTGGCACCACCTCTCGGGCCTTATCATAAGCCCACTCATGTTGCTTCCGTTGGCCCAGAGATTTTCCCGATGAGATGACGAAGATGCAGACTCAGGAAGACTCAAGGATCTTGTGTGGGGTTTCATCTTACCCCCTTGCGGGCTTTCGTCCTGGAACATCGAAATCCTGTCATCTCCTGCAAAATCACAACCTTCAAAAGGCAAAGGAAAAACTCCGCGCGTATTTTTTGATCTAACTTAACAAAGTGGCATCAAGTCACGTAGGCTTGTTGAGAGTTTATTTTGCCGCAACTGACAAGTTATTCGTGACTTCCCTATTTTCAATAGGTCCTGGGAGTAAAATACTTGGGTAATATGAACCAGAATATTGTGTTACATTACAAAGTTATGTCCGTTTAACTAATGACACAAACACTGTTGTCCTGGGGCGCGTGGACGGGTCAATAGGTCTTGAGTAATACGCAGATGGATTTTTTTATCCGTGTCTTCATTTTGGTACAAGGACTGACCAGTCTGTACCAATAATAGACAGACCTCATTTGTGGGTGTATTTTCTTTAGTCTCTGTAGCACTTTGGAGACGGTAGCACCTCCCATGTTCTGAATGGTTACCGTTGTTGCAAGGAATGAACTTGTATTTGGTATTATTTAGACTTAACTTGTACTGCATTATGAACAGTGAGCCCTGGGGAATGGTGTTTTTTTCCTGCATCGTGTAACAAAATCTTGTTCTGACACAGAGAAGAATGATGATATCAACAGCACGTGAAAGGTTGTAGTACAAGAAAGTGTTCGGCCTATTTTGTTTTGGTGTCTGTTTGTTTGCTTGTTTATGTGCCTCCTCCGCGCACACTGGAACAAATCAAGGAGCGAGACACTCATGTCTGGCTCTTGTCCATTAATTGAAACGTGATCACTCAAACATCCCATCTTGGGAGGGGGTCTATACCCTTCGCACGTGACGTCACCTTTTAACTTTCGCTTCTTTTTTTTTTTCATTTTTGCATTGTTTTAAGGGGGGCTAAAGGCCCTTAGCTCCCCGAAGAAACGCGCCTGGTGATCTTTCACTTTATAGTCCTTATTAGTGACGCACGCCTTGTTCGACGAGAGTAATATGGTCTACTGCTATCCAACGCACCGGAGCTGAAGTTCAGCTTCCCGGTGTTATTGAGGCGCACAATCATTTGAAGACAGTCTAACCTTGAAGTGTCAGACCAGCGTTTGCCCAAAATACAGTTCTCACCTTCATTGTCAATTCAAATCAGTCATAAAAGTAACAAAAAAAATTGTGTGAAGAAGATTGCATGGTTCCAGTCACGTGTATGGGAAGAAGCATAAGCGATCAGGCGCTTTGTAAAAGCAGAGGAAATCAGATATCTCGATGATTATAACTGCGTTTGATAATTTTCAACCTTTTACAACATGCAAAGCCATGTTGATATGCAACTAACTTCAACTGCTGTTTTGCTTTTGTTTTTTTTAAACCTTTTTAGCCTCCTACCGGTGTTTGCCAGTCACCATGCCCGCCGGGTACCAGGAAGGTCAGTCGTGACGGCTTGCCTGCGTGCTGCTTCCAGTGCGCTCGGTGTCCCGAAGGTTCCTTCACAAATACAACAGGTTAGCTCACATCGGCAGGTGTTCCTTTAAGTGATTACAAGAACAGGCCTTTACCTCTCTCTTTACCCGTGGTCTTGTAACACGATCAGCTGGCTAGTCTTTCTTGTTACTCATTATGAAAGGATTTATGCTCGGAGCAAAAGAGAAATACGAAGCAACTCCTGGCCAGGGCATTAATTATTCGCGCTGCAAGTTCGTAAAAGTTCAACCTGCCCGCAGATTAAAGCAGTTGTTTCGTACGTGAAGTTAATTTCACTGCTTTTGCTTAAACGACGGTCCCTATTTCTCACGAATTCAGACGAAAGCACGTCGCGTCAATCGCAGCAAAAGAAATCAATTTTGTTGCTCATCACACAAAAACAAAAGTGCAGCAATACCCATGTCTGATAGCATGATTATTCAGTTATTCTTCGCTGGTGTACGCATGTCATGTCTCTTTCGTTTGACGAACATAAAGGCCTTCTTTTGCTCCGTCAACAGCACAGTTTAACCATGGCTGGCCATGTGTACAAAACCTCCAAAATATTAAACCATAGAAATAAGTGTTCAAAATTCTCACAAAAAATTAAACACTGAATAAAACATCTCCCACTTGAACACTGATTTTAAAGTAAAAATGGGCATTTTGAGGTAAAAAGTTGCACCCAACAAAGGCTGAACTCTCTACAAACTTTGGACGCCAGTACAAAATGGCCGTCAATGTTTGTAAACAAAAGAGAGGTCCCTATGGTCAAAGACCACATAGATGTCAAAACCGCATGGTTTCCCCAGGATTTGCCACTATTACTGTAGGCAAGCGCTTGGTTAGCAACTGTAAGCTACACATTGGGAACTAGACAGTAAAGCTTATGCTTTCGCGTAAAATGGGAAGTAAATTGGATTGTCACCATCAGTGACATGTACTTTTGTTGTTTTCGTGCCGTCCAGCGTTAGGTAAGTCCCGTGTTTTTCTCATCCTTTTCATTTTGCTTTTTATAAATGCTTTGAATAGGCGCCCCAGTCTTTGCCCACGACAGTGGCTAAAATAGAAGGTTTGTATGGCTGCTATCTTGCAGGCCAGTGCTTTTATTCCACAGTGCATGCACAAAGGAGGCTTCCCAGTGGAACAGAAGAACTGCCCTGCAAGATGGCTACCAGGCAAAGTCTCTATAGGCCTATGTCGGGTCACGTGGGTAGCGTGAGTAGACTGTCCCCTTTCCTTCTATTTTTCAATTGTGGAGGCATGAAACAGGCGGGGGACCGTCCTTTCTGTTGTTCCACAGTAAGACAAGATACTTGTAATAGTTGCCAGAAAGCCCAAGCAAAACTTCAACGGAGACAGTCTATCGCGCGCGCAAAGCTTGGTTGCGTACCATTGTGAGTATCTCCTAAAATTTATAACCCTACCTGGTTCCTTTCCTCTTTGTATCTTCAGGGCAACTTGTGTGCATGCAGTGTCCTCAGGGAACATGGTCCAATGGGAATCGTTCAACGTGTCATCCTAAGACTCTAGACCTACTTCACTGGGACGAAGCTATGAGCGTGGTCGTTATGTGCTTCTGCGGCCTTGGCGTGGTCAGCACACTGCTGATGCTCATCACGCTCACGCTGTACAACAACACAGCCATCGTGAGGGCGTCCAACCGCGAGATCAGCTACTGCCTCTTGATCCTGCTGATTGTGTCCTTCCTCGAGCCGTTCCTCTACATCGGGATGCCATTCACCTGGTCCTGCAACTTCCGGATCGCCCTACACAGCCTCAGCAACACGGGCGTGCTGGCCATCTTTGTGGTGAAAACGCGCCGGATACTGGATGTGTTCGACACCACGTGGCGGGGATTCTCTCTGCGTTCGCGGCTCCGGCGCACCGGTCTGCAGGTGATGATTACCGTTTTTCTTATCCTGTTGCAGGCGCTAGTTGTTACAGTGTATCTCATCATCAAGCCGTCGAAGGTGCTTCTAGACCAGGATATATCAAACTCGAGGGTTTACGTGCAGTGCGACAGCAACATTCTTGGCTTCATCGCCATGTACACCTACAACACCATCCTGGCCTCCATCTGTTTCGTGTTCTCGTTCCGAGCCCGCAAGATCCCGGAAAATTTCCACGAGACGCGGTACATCACGGTAACCATGATGTTCTACGTCGTGATCTGGGTGGTGTCCCTGCCCATCTACTTCTCGACAAACGGCAAGCTCCAGGCCCTCATGCAGATCATATCGGTGGTGTTGACAAACTACCTGATCCTGGGCTTCATGTTTCTACCCAAGTGCTATATCATATTCATCACGCCTGAGCGGAACACCACCCAGTCCATTCGCGAACAGGCCTGCGGTTTCCGCATGGGCGAAATCAACAACACACTGGTGGTACAGATGGACGGTGAGGCAAGACGACCGTCATCTCGCTTGTCAGCGTCTGACCATGATGGCCACGGGAACCACTCATAGCCACAACTTTTCAGTAACATGGCAACGTTTTAAATACGACATAAGCCCTTGGAGACGATTAATGGAAGATAAAGTCCAACGATGTTATTTGCAAGTCTTGCGCTTAAAACAATAGAAGGGGCTGATTGACATTTCAGTGCACTACTAACAAGCTGAAATTTTGAAAGAGATCAGGAATCGTCTAAAGGCGCGCTTCCATATGTAGGCCTACGTTTTGGGGGTGCGTTGCGTACATGATGTGTTCATGCGTTTCACTTTCACGGACACAAAACACAACTCCGTTAACAAAACACAGTTGTGCATTCCGTTCGGCTGTCAAAAACGCCCCGGGAGCGATTTTGACGTATACCCAACGCCTAGTGCAAGTGTTGAGTCGCATATGAAAAGGAGCCTGTTTGCTGCCACCAAGAGTTCCAAGTGTTGCATTTCACTTTCACGATTATCACACTTTGTGCATGTGTGATTTTAGATAAAGTTAAGTTTCATTATCTTCGGAATCATGCATTGGATCACCGAACTATCAGTAGGCACTAAATGCAACCTCCATCGGAAACAAGCACTTGAAAGCGAAAATATACAAACTGAACCTGATGTTCAGTGTTAGTTTCGTTACCCAGTGCCACCATGAAAAACGATCTGGCATTCATAAAATAGGCACTGCTAGGCCTGTGCTATTAGTAATTTCCTCACTTCGTAAAAGTAATAGGATTCTACACGCTTGTCAAATTTACAGGATAGATTCTTTCTTAAATACTCAGAATTGTTTAAAATCCATTAACCCCAACGATTAAAAGAAAATACTCAATGTTCACTTTAATCCCTTTTCAAAGACTAAAAATGCCACTGCCAAAACAGCATAAACTCGAATAAAACCGAAACAGGTTCGCAATAAGGGATTCTGACGTGGATCTCAACTGCATGCTAGGTCCGCTTGCCAAAAGTGGTTCTTGCGGTGAAATTGTCAAATTCCTGTTGGGCAATGGACCTTCTCATTAATACTTCACAATTATGCACGCATGAGCATAAATGTGCATGGCAGCAAAAAAAGATGAACAGTATCACAAGTTTGATATTATAATCAAAACGGAGAAGAGGAGATTGCGTAAAAGGGGAAATGAATGGAAAAATTCACAGCAAACGTTAAAAACACGTATTACACGTTGAAATTATAAACACCAAATACACGAGGTAAATCGTTTTTTCGCTGTTGGTGCATCAAATAGGGATAGCTTACAGGAAGAAAATTTCCTTTCGAGGATTTTTCTGTTCGAAGCCAAGCTAGAAATACGGCAACTGCTGAAGACAACTCCTGAGACGACAGTACATGTATTTATATTTACAATGAAGAGGGCGGGAGCTGGTCTAGCTTGGTTTGGGTAATCCCCTTTGAAGGCCAGGTAAAGAAAAGTTAACCGTCCCAACATGCATCCTTTTGGGGAGTTATTTTTCATTCCCTTACAAAATCTATGTTTTCAATCTTCATTAGTTTCGTCGGTGTGAAAATGTAAATTTCACGCATACTGGGCTTAAAAACAACACTTAGATTGGAAGGATGCATTATATGATACCATCAGTCATTTTGGACCGAAAAGCAGTCGGTCATTTAGTATGTCAAAGCTACCCCCCGGTTATGTTTGGAAAGGAAGGGCCGCCTCTTTTGAACTTTTTTTTCAACTTTTCTAGAACTCGACTTTGTCCCTTGGAATGCCGAGTGAAGTCTTCTGAGTAAACAAGAAGCCTCGCATTTTACCATAGAGCTCTACCCTGTGTGTGTATCTAGTGGCGCACGTGTCGCGCCATGTGCGCACGACTGATTTCAAAATGTACAGGCGTCAACTCAGTCTATGTGTGGTATTGTGCAAGGCGTCATTGACGATCGAACGCCAGCAGTAAGCCTGCATCTTCATCATCTTTGCCGAGGGCCAGAGCTAGGTACTTATTTAAATGGGAAGGATAGTCCGTAAAGTCCGTAGTCATTGTAAAATCAGCTATCAGTGTTGTTCACCTATTAAAATGAATGTCCGTCAACTATATATATTGATAGCATTGCCTGCAGTTCAAATTAATCTCGAAATGCTCTCAGATTTGTTAGTTATGTATTCTCATTGTTCTAAGCTGCAAAACCTTCGCTTAGCCTTGTCTAATTTTGATCGAAGTAAATACTATTTAAAAATGTCACTTACTGTTCAAACTTTCGGTGTTATTCTATTTTTATTAAGGTCTTGTAAATGTATAAAGAGATTCAAGCATGGATATGTAACAGTTTTGCGTTAATCTCAGGTTGATCATGCGAGACAGCAATCAACCTCACTTCATTTCTGATTTAAACTAAACTTGTGTTTTTGCTTATAAGTGTGCCTGCCTACCGGCAGAAAAAAATTTGAAGTATTTATGTCAAATTACCAATTAAGGTTTGGTAATGGTATTTGCAGCTATGGCACATCAGCCTTCTCTCTACAGAAGATTCCGTTTCATATCAGCTCTCAAAGCCGGTGTTTATTTGCAAAGCCACTAAAAGTACCAGAAGTGCCCCCACCGGTAATAAATACAAGGGTCCAATGGCAGGGTGATTCCAAGAAAAATTACCCCCACCTCTTTCACACTCTTGGTGCCATTATCTTAACATCCCAGGATAAAATTCCAGGGGTTTTGTGGTCTGAATAGGAGTGGACTCCCGTGGGTGACACCTGATGGATGTCAAAGCACTTCTCCCTGCAGGTAAACACGTCCGGTGTGCTGATTAAAAAACGGACGACAAGGGAACAAATCCAGAGATGGGAACGGCCATTTCATCTGTGATGACAAACTAAGTAATTAGGAATATTGCCCGTATAGGCTGGCCGAAGAAGTGATGAAGATTTTTCATTATGAAAGTATAATTTCCCTCGAGTAAGCTTGCAACGGCGCAGACTGGGCGGGGATAACGTTTACACTGGCCTGGCGCTCAGCCCTGCGTAACAGCAAGCAGTGTGTGACACACTACCCTGGATAACACAATTCTATCGAAGTTGATTGAGCTGCCATATTCCAAAATCTAATTTACTTATCACTTCGGTAATGATTCCCTAGAGCTGGCTAGGGGTGTCTTTCATCGGGGAGTGGGACTTGCTAAGTCATTTTCTCCTCAGATTACTGCAATAATGATGATGTTTTTTCATTGATTGCAGCCAGGTGAGCGAGGTGTCATACGTTCCAACAGAGCACACTGCGTATCACACTGTGAATAGGCACGATTTGATTTTCATTTGGGAAAGTGGGAAAGACACGGGCATACCAGGATGTGCAATTAAGCAGTAGATGCCAAGAATCACGCACCGTTTCACTCCAATTCACATCCGTTCCCTAAATTCCCGTGCTGTAGTAAACTGTTAAAGGTTGACAGAAATAGAAATTATTTAGTTCACGTAAAGTATTTCAAATAACAGTAAATACGTAACAATATCCAAAACATTAAAAATTCAATGTTTACCCCATTAATCATGACCCCCAAATGAATAAAAAGATCCTGCGTTTCCTCGCCCACAAAAAAATCCCCTTTTGGCTGTTCGCACTCCCAGGCTGATTTGATGACGTCATCGGCAGAACGCCTTCATGTTCAGTGTACATGTACATTGCATGATTGCACACAGTATATGCAGTATCGCACGCTTGCAATAGACCACGTTGTGTTCGATGTAGCCCGGCCCACTGGCGATTACTGTGCCAGTTCAAGAAATACACGGTAGGACTGTGTCTTTTAATTTCTACCTTGAAATGCAGCGGCAGCTTATTTTCTTGTGGTGCCCCGTCACAAAACGTGTGCACCAACGGGTGCCCCTCCTGGACATCCAGCCCTATACGCAAGTGACTGTTAATGAATAACTATTGACAGTATAGTGAAAACCGCGATGTAATTTTGGGTTGTTTACAGCTTCCTCCATTGTTTTGAAACAGGATACAAATATGTGACACCGGGCTCGATTTGACCGTGTGTCGCCGCTGACACACACATCTTGCAGACGACCCCGTGCGTTCCGTATGCAAGATGACATATGCCTCTTCTTAGTAGATGCATAGCGTCAGTCCAGCTGCGCCTGAGCGTTTTCTCGCTACACACTATACAGTTTTTTTAATGACGTTAAATGCGTAAGAGCCTAACTTAAAAGACAATGTAAATTTTCAATTGGTGTACGAGAATCCAGCCTATTTTTTGAATGCTTTTTCCTGATTCTCGAGTTCAATGCTTAGCTTCTAGTGTAGAATTCAGAAAATAAAAATATACTATGTATGGTGGTATTAAGATTGATTGTGGTATGGCGGTGTTTGTTATAGCTAACAGATCTTAAGGACTTGGTTAAGTGGTCATGTTTGGTCTATAGGTGGTGTTGTGATGATAACGGTGGTAAGATTCCAGCAACATTTTTGGAAAGCTTTTTCCTCAATCTCGAGATAAGAGTCTAGAATGAAAAGAAACTAAAAAAAATACTATTTATTGTGGAATAAAGATTTATTGTGGCATCGTGGTATAGCGGTCTTGTGGTAATGACAATGGTGAACCTAAAGGACGGGAACTGTCGGGCGTGCAGATGTTGGTGTTGAAAGTTTGAAAGTAACCACTGAAATGCATGCTTGCAGCTGTATGAAATTGTCTGAAAATGCTGGTGTTACTTCTTTCTTGTTGCAGATGGGAGAGTTGGCTGAAGCGATTACCGTGTTGGTACGGGGTGTAGGGTTTGTAGTGGCAATGAATTAAGATGGTAGCGCGGTAGTACAAGAGGTGGTGGCAGAAGTGGTTGTGGTTGTGGCGGTGGTGGTAAGGGTGGTGGTGTGAACCAGCAGTAGAAGGGTTGGGGTATACTGAGTAGTCGCAAATGTGTTTTAGCTGAAGCAGTGACAGTAGAACTTTTTAAAGCTTATAGTTGTACCTTACTGAGTGGATATCCATGCACTATGTAGCTAAAAACTGTTCAATCAAGCAGTTTGGACATCAAATCCAGCCTATCAAATTTTAAAACCAACGTGCTGAAACTAAATTCGACAATGAAAGAGCTAATTTCATCGTTTTCTAAAAGATTTTTTCAGAATGTTTGAAACAACATTTTAAACGCTTAATTTACTGTTGAGACCTGGATTTAAGGTTAGATTATACCCGGACTGACTTTTTTAAATGCAGACTTCAACCTTTATAAAGTGTTTTCACTTACCGCGAACATGTAAGTGTTGGATTCAACGGCATACTTAAAAAGCGTTTGTCCCATTGCTCCGTTTTTAGTACCAAATACATTCTGTTTCTTCGGGAGTTCGAAAAACACCTCACGATTCGCCTTTCTCACACCACGAAAAAGTGTGGGGGATCATCCCATTGACCATCTCCCTGGCCAAAATGTGGGGCATACATACCCTATCTCCCGGGATTTACACCACTGACTGTCGTACTTTTCATAGTATGAAAGCAAATACATGTAATAGAAAAACAGTACGAGTGGGGTGTCATGCATCCAGTCTGGTGCTTAAAGAGCATCCTGGAATGCTGTCAACAAACAATACTGTATGTAAACACGTGTGTGGTCAGACTATACATGTACATCAGATTGAACTGACGCCCTACATGGCATTCTATCATCCCAGTTTGACAGAATAAGTACGGTATTTTCTGCCCAAGTACGGAATAAATGAGTGATTATGGAACTAGAACTTACTGTATGGTGAGTGTAGTGTGTTGAGAGGTGCGGCGCTGTTGGGAGTGATGGTGGTTTACAAAACTGGGAAAGGGTGTCGAAAATTTTGTTTTAAAACTGATAAGAACGGTGATGTGTTATAGTTAGTAATTCAACGCATCGAGATAATTGTTGTAGAGGTTTCTTGGAATGGTTTATGATTTAATGTTTAATGGGTCAACATGATGACGCAGTGAATGAGAGATTTACGTTAGCAAAGCTGATAAAGTTGAACTGACGTGAGGGTGTGTATAAAACGCCAATTCATAAAACAATGGATAAGTATTTTAAAGTTGTGAATTTGAAAGCTTAGTGTGGTTACACCATGCATTATTTACCAGGCTTTCTATCAATGCTTAATTCGCATCTGTGCAGTCAAGGTGCACAGAATCAATCATTTCAAAAACAAAACCCTTTTGCCAAGTTGACCCAAGTTCAGACCTAAGTTGCCGAAGGGAGGTAAACATGGTGGAGGTATTCCTATTCGTGCATGAAATAGAATATAATTTTGATGAATAAACTGAGCAATATGAACAGATGCATTACCCTTTATGACAGACCCTTTATAATGGTGGCAGTCTTTGAAGTGACTATGCGTTTCAGTTCTACGCTGTTTGTTTAGTGATCACAGTGGACAAGGTGGCGATGACGGGCTAGGACGTAGGTGTGCTGGAGTGGCGTATTCAGATTGTTTAGGGGTGCAAAATTGGGAGTATTTTTTTCCAAACAATGGTCCGATTCTAAAGTATTGGCGCTTACATAAATAATGTAAAAGAAATAAAAAATACAAAACGTGGGACCGTGATAATGGGGAGCTCCAAAAGGTGAATCCAGGTCCATGTTCTCAGGGCCATTGTTTGTGGGGGTGGAAAGTACGGAAATGTCCATTCGTAACCTTTCTTAGGGTGAGGCTAAATTTCTGTCAAGCTTTTTACAAGTTTTTGGGAGGGAAGGAAAAGCAATAATTCTCCCCAAATCTGTTCTGTCATTACTGTTCAAAAATAAATGCTCGGGGGGGGGGGTGCCAAGGGCACGTTTGTCCTCCCCCTAGACCCGGCAATGACTGCCCCCAGCTGGATACGCCAAGGGTGAGGTGTCAGTGGCAGTAGTGGAGATGCTACATCGGTAATTTACGATTTCGATGACAATTTTGCGAATAATGAGGATCGCAGCAACTACACATTACAAGCGATGTGTAGTAAAACAAAGTACCACTGGAGATGACATGCGAGTTGGGATTGACGTCAGAACATGCTCTTACAGCGACATCGGGGTGCATGTTTTCCAGTTACAGTAAATCAGGCGATGATTAAGTTGATATACTGGCTATAGAAATCAGTGAGGTCGAGAAAGGTAATATGTGTGGAGCTCATGAACGGTGATACTTCACATGTACAGACATGGCATTAGCTTGCTGCTTGGAAGGGATGCAGTGAATGTGTTGAGGGAGAATGTCGTGATGAAGTATGAGATCCATGGCGGTGTATTCTGTAATGAGCTAGTGGGTGGCTAAGACATGATAACCGATTTACAGTATGCCACGTACATTAAAAGGGTGTTAGCTACACAATCACTTGAAATAAAAAAAGACTGGTGTCAAACAGAATTGGTGACCTGTTTGTGATTGGGAATCAAGCCTTTCGACTTAAGAAACTCTACACTCTATGTTGCAAACGACGCTGGGGCTCATTTTCACACTGAAGTTATAAATCTTATCAAATGGCATGATCACCACTTGTGCCATGCAGGCTTTCGGTTGTCGTTGTTCCGCTCCGGATCCTTGCTCCGCGTTTTTCTTACTTTTTGCCATTTATAAAGCTTTAAAGGCTTGCCTTACCACGCAAATTGTGCGTAGCATCGCGGTCTTTGCGTACAACAGAAGCGGATGTGCATGTGCGTCGGGTCACGTGGGTCAACTGGTGCAAGACTCATTACATGCAATACAGAATACCTCTATCTTCCCATTAAACTTATTACAGGGGTGCCAGACCGGTCCAATATAGGCCTACCCTGAAAGCCATTTCGGCTAGTTTCAAGCACCGTGCTTGTGCCGTGTCGAATAAAATTGAATTGAGCAGGACGTTAGCACGGCAATGATTTCAAACGTCGAACTTATTCAAAAAGTCCAGTCGGACTTTAATAAAGCCAATATGGCAGATCAGCACTGCACGAAACGTGATTTTGCGATCTTTCAGCTTGAGTAACAAAGAAAACGAATTTAGCTTCGGCGAGCACAACTAGCAATTTATTTTATTCTCAAGGCCCGATGTTACGGTTCCCAGCGATCTTGCAGTGAAATCAATGACCCAGATGAACAGTTTGATATCATTTGGGAGTCTTATTCCGGCATATGGACAGGATTTTTAGTTTCAGTGGTCAGCTTTGAGTTTATCTCATCTGATATTAAGCATAAGTTTGAAAGAGAAATTGTGTAACTGAAACCCCATCTCCCCCAAGCTCCGTCTAGCAATCTGTACCGTGCGTTTCAAGAAATTTCCATTTTAGTCGCCATATTTGTGGGTGCGTTTGTTTGTCGATGATTATTTCTCAACTCTATTACATGTTGTGAACATGCGCATTCGTAATTATCAACGAACTTTAGGACGAACCTCAAATACCGATTGTATTCGACTTGGCAACAGAACGACGTTTGAAACCACACCGTACTTCTGCAGTACTTAATGACATAAGCACGGCAGACCCTGCCGAGCCAAAATCCTCTGCCGAGCCAAAATCAATTTGCAAAACGTCAAGCTTATGCCGTGCCCAATACAAAAATCAAGTTGAATGGTATTCGGCACGACATAAGC